GTCCGAAAATCTAAAGAAAGGTAGACTTTTAAATAGCAGCTGACTTTTAGGCGAATCTTCTGACCCTGTGCTTTTTAATAATGATAGCATACTAAGACAAGCTGAATAAAAATAGTAGTCACACAGGCCTCCTCTCATTTCTGAGAGGGGTTTAGGGCAAGGTCATGTCCGCAACGCTGCCCCGATGCATGTTGGCGAACCTCACATGTCATCGAAATATTGTACATATAAAATTAAATTTAATAATATTAGGAGAACGGTGGGGTTTAATGAGCACTCTGCTCAAAATATTCAAAAAATATTTAATGATAAAAATGCAAGTTGCTTATATTGCAATAATAAAGATAAATAATATTTATAAGTCTTTTAATATAATTGAAAAATTGGTTAAAACATTTCTAGGTTATAGAGTGTGTTCATACAATGCTTGAGTCTTCATTAAATAAAGATTCAAGCATTGCATTAACGATATTAACAAATTATGTTAATGTATCAATAATTTTTCTGTGTCTTAATTTAACGTATAGAACCTAAATTTATTAAATGGCCTACAACTAAACCTTTAGAAACATCCTTGGAAAAAATCAGTATAATCAGCCTGGTCACGTAAATTTTATTATGAAAAATTTAACAGACGGCTATTTGATTTTATTTATATATAGGGGAATGTTACGGTATGAAGAGATTCATGACATATTGCAAATTGGATTGGAAAGCATTTACGTGATTTAATATGAATGCGTTCGCGTGGGGAGGATTGTTTCGAGTTGGGTGCCGCAAAATCTTACCGATTCTCAGAACTGCGTGGAATGGTGCCGTGACTTGATTACTTAATTCAAAGCAGGCTTGTTTCAGTGTGCTTACGAGATTACTACAAGTAATGGGTATTGGACTTATCAATATGATCTAGACACTAAGCTCCAGTTGACAGTTTGGCCGTTTTTAAATGAATCAACGCCTATCAAAACGAAACGATCGAGAAGTGCAGGGAAAATTTAAAATTTTAATTACTAGTTTTTCACTTGGGATATCTGATAACAATTTCTTTATGAAACCGAATACTAGCAATAAGAGACCGAGCAGGGCTCTTCGAGCTCTTATCATTATGACCTAGAAACTAAGCTCCAGTTGACAGTTTGGCCGTTTTTAAATGAATCAACGCCTATCAAAACGAAACGATCGAGAAGCCCAGGGAAAATTTTAATCTCTAGTTTTTCACTTGGGATATCTGATAATCATTTCTTTATGAAACCGAATTAAATCATATGCCAATGGTATACCAGCAATAAAGGATCGAGCAGGGCTCCTCGGGCTAATTTCTTTAGGCTTGCATATGCGAAAATAAATGAATCACTAAATTTGTGTTTTGAATTTAGTTATTCATTAATTTTCATGTTTTAGGATTTTATTTGACATCGTCCTGTACTCAATATGGAAACTTTATTTCCCACTAACAATGCTCCCGCGCATATAGCACTCCGGTTAAATTTTTGAATCACTTTTCTTACAGTCCTGATTTTTCACCGAGTGACTTTTTTTATTCCTCAAAGTGAAAAACACGCATACAGTTTTCATTGCCGACAGATTCGTTAGCAGCGTATAAGTGTGTTTGAGACGGACTGGAAAAGTGTTTCGAAAATTGGTTCAGACGCATGAAACTTTCTATGAACGCTGACGGAAAATTCCTAAATATATAACGACCTATGTTATTACCCTTAATTTACTTACATTTAAGTTCACTACTAAACAGGCCTTCGCAACAGAGTTCCTCATAGGGGGATAGTCGCCACAGCTTCTATGCTTGGTAACCGGGTAAGCAACCGCGGTTTTCTACTTGGCTGTGATAATAGCTGTTTTTAATTTCCCTCTTTCGCCTCTTACGGCACCCACTTGATGATATGGCTAAGTTAATATACTCACAGCACAGTCTCTAAATGTATTAAATCATATAATACTTTATGTCATAATAAAATGTCGTTGGTCTGACGATCATAAGTCGGATCAAAAAACACACCTGTGCTTGCGCATACACGCATTTACAATAATGCGGTCTTGCACAGATAGCTTGTCTTTGTTTACCTGTAACAGAAATTCAGTCTGGAATACATTAATGTAATGTACATTAATGTAATAAGTCCTTGAGACCGAATTTCGATTTTTATACATTTAACATTAATGTACATGATATCCTTAGTCATATCCTAGTATTTTAGACCATTTTGGACAATCGATGTGAAATAAGGTTCTAGTGTGCATGTAAATCCTAACCGGCTGAAATATAAAAATTTGTAAGATGATTTAAAATAATTGTAAAAGTTTGATAAATAAATAAATTAAATATAAAATAAGAGCTTTCGTAGTCCGTTTATTGGATTGGCAACCCAACACTTCCAAAGGGATGAGAACCTTTTTTATTATATGGGATGTTGATACTTAGGGCAGAGTGAAACAGTACCACAGTGAATAATCATTTAGTCGCGGATCGTGGGTTCGATGCATACACGGAACCAGCAAAATAAGCCATACGCCTACGAACAATTTTTTCACATTACAGGAACATGTGAAACAACTCTACTTTCTAAAAACAGTAAAATTTTAGTAGCTGAGTAATCTTTTCTTTAAAAAAAGACGTACAATACGTAAAGAAAAAGGAACATCACACCTATAACCATTATTTTTTATCTTCTATCATGGCGATCTCACGGTTTTTGATCTTCATTTATTTTATGATAGGTATTTGGACGATATGATTTACTTACTGGTTAAAAGTAATCGCAAAGTGTGAAATGCTATTTCTTCTATCGAAATACACTAACCACATCCTCAAGGTTAATGAGTTTGTGTGATATCTATAGAAATAGTTTTGATCGTTCATGTCGCTTGTATATTTTATCACAAATATTTTTTCGTTTTTATAGAGTCTCATTTATTCGTGGTATCCGGTTTTTCTATAATTTTAATGTCTAATTAAGTTGAATATCTGGAAACTCCACTTTCAATAGGTTATTAGTTCAAGCTGGTAAAGCGAGGCCTTTGCCCTGCGTGGTATTTAAAAAAAAAACTATTATATTTTTTTACCAGTTACTATATTAATTAATTTGATTATGGTATCGGTTTGTATGTTTATTTGTCTTTTAATTTCACATCTAACTTATTCTTTTTCATAAACTCTTAAAACTCTTGTATTCTGGATATAGGCTTTTGCCATTTTCGGGAGAATTTAACATATAAAGCCATTCTTGACTGTTGGATTAACTATCAATATACTAATCGTGATGATAAAAAAGATGAAAGATCTTTGACGCCGCTTTCCGTAACTGGCACGTGTATTTTACGTTTTTTGTAAAGAAAATGACTGTACCGCCATCTGTCTCAAGCCACAAGGTCTTTCTGGCAGTTAACACTGTTTCTATAGGACAAAATGGGAACGTGTAAACTCTCAACAATTTTAACAATTATAGACCTATTCTAGTCCTTGAGTGTAACAACTTATCTATTTATTGAATTATTATATTCATTATCATCAATATACACAAAACAAACAACATTCTAAATTCTAATTCTAATACTAAAAACCTTAAAAATATATATTATAATAACTAAAATATATTATTAAAAAGGAGGTCCTTTAGGCAGGGTTCCGAAGATACTGGCAGCGTTTCCCCGTTGAATAGCTAGACTAACTCTTTGTCCGAGGTAGCTGCCAGCTCTTCGGTCTCCTATGACGTCGATTAACCTTTTTGCTATTTCCTTAAAAAGGCTTATAGCGCTAGGACCCCACGGACCAAGGGTCTCGACACCGAAAGGGACAAAAATATATTCGGATCCTAGACCCCTGTATTTGCATACTTTAGCATTTTCAGCCGCTTCACAAGCCGCACCAGCTCTGTTGTTGGTTTCATGTAGATGGGAATACCAGCACCCGACCCATCTTCCATGGAATCAAACTCATACCGTCCGGTCTCTTGCCATCGTCTCTTGCAGACGGCTCAAGTAGACTTGGCACGTTGACGGTGGCAAGAGACCGGCGTATGATATCGTTAAGTGCTGCATGTCTCGAGAAGCGACCTGTACTTTTTTGGCATGATAGCCGACGTCACTGCCACACGGACATTTGTGAGGAGCACAGACTGGAACCCCAAGCCGTAGACAGGTTGCGATTCGGAGCGTGTCAGGCTCAAGAAATGTTCCTGTATTTGACGAAGGGTACGCGTGAAGCCAGTAGCCGGCTTTTTATTTATTGATATTATTTTATTTATTTCTCTTTATTCATGTTATATTTATTATATTTTGCACCATCTATATAGTTTCAGGTGGGTTGTGTGTTATATGTTACTATATGTTGTGTGCTTGTTGCTCTTATTTTATGAAAAAATGTACTCTTGAAATAAAAAAATATATATATATATATATATATATATATATATATATATATATATATATATATATATATATATATATGAAAGACAAACGAGTAAACAGTCCATCAATTCACCCTATGCTTCGCTTATCGATACAAGGCTGCACATTGCCAATTCAGCTTATTGATCCGTTTCGCTATATCGGTTACTCCATTTCTACTGCGGATATCCTCATTATTAAGTCTACTGTAAGTGGGGCTCACAATATCTACTACACTTGTTTGAGTGTCGTTGAGATAGAAATTGAAACTTTAAAATAAATGCCTTTTTGTTACTTCTTTATTCTTTTCATTAAATTAAAAATAAATGTGTTCTTACTACTAGCAGCGTCTAGAGTTTTAATCTATATGTAAACCAATGGTATAGTTATTAGCTAGGAATTAATGACCTAAACACGTTTAGAATCGTCGGCTAAATGTCAGTTGTATGGAGGCAATAAAAAGTTATGAAAAAAGACAAAAAAAAATTATAAATAGAAAAAAATGGTGATGTCATTGTACATTACTAAGGATATAAAAGGATTTTATCCAAAACACGACATTTGTAACGATTCATCGGTAGAACGTAAAGGAACTCAATATGGTAAGCTTTGAATACTGATATTAATATATAGATATGAATGAGATATAAATAAGATATGAATAGCGAAAGTTTCTAATATTTGTTTAGCTGTGATTTATACATTACATTACAAAACTTCTTACATTAATTGGAACAATATTAGTTTCATATTATTAGAAGTCTACAGAATTTCAAGTTAAAGTTTTTATGATTAATATTATTTTATTAACATGCATGTACAAAATCCTCAACTTTAGACTCCACTTAAAATGTCATGTTTTGTCAATGTGACATGTATTGATGGACTTCTTATTTATGTATATAATTTATACATATAAAATTTTGGTGTTAAAAGAGAACGAAATAATTTTATTCTATTATTAATCTTATTTAATAATGTGATCATTCGCAGTTTTAATAATTACGAAGAAAATAAACTTAATTCAACGTGAGACACGCACATATAAATTTTCTAGCTAATATAAGAAAATATTTTTTTTTCGTTTTTGTGTCATAAAACTTGTCTCATACATTCATTATCCATTAAAGCGTATAAAAATCAACTGGTGAACATAGGCTTCCCTCATAGATTGTCTTATAGAGTGGATTTTGCCACAGTTGCCACGTTTGGCAATCGGATAGGCAACTATAGTTTTGAGTCATCAGGAAGATGCTGCTACCCATCTCCTATTTCAGCTTTCTTCTATCGCCTCTTACGACACCCACGGGACGATATGGGGTAGTGGTGGCCGTGCAAGAATACATTTATTAATTTATTAGAATTATTAACAAATTTAATGTCCGGTTATCAAAGGTCCACTGCTCAGCATAATCATAGATCTCCCCCATAGATTGCCTAGTAGGGGGATATATGCCATTTCTGGCATGCTTGGCAGGCGGGTTTGCAAACGTATTTCTTTATTATTTTGAGTTGTTATCGGGAATATGCTGATGATTACCTGTTTTCGATATTATTATATAAAATGTTTTATTTTAATTTACAGAAAAATCTTATTGTTTTAATTTGCGCCATTGGCTGCGCATGCGCCTCAGTTTCGGACCAACAAGCCAATACTATTCGTAGTAATTTCGACCACGATTCTCAGGGTGGCTACAAGTACGGTTTTGAGACAGACAATGGTATTACAGCGCAAGCCGATGGAAAAATAACAGTTTTAAACAAGGTATAAAAAAACTTTTGACCTCATTTATAATTGTTGATTACGATAATCATTACTTAAGTTAAGTATTATTATATTTAACTCAATATGTTTTATTGATGTTTCGTGAATAAGGAGAACAACTAGTCAATCGCTGTCTATATTACGTGATTGGAGGATTGGAGGTTTTAAAGCATGGTCGATTGAAGCTCCAATTGAAGATAATAGCATTTGTGCACGATTCCTTAACTGTTTCAAGAATAGACATCAATAATTTTTTTGTCATTAGCCTTCCATGCCGTAGTAATATAGACAACTCGTTACTTCAAAAGGTACCCTAAAGCTTAGACGAAATAATTCGTCCAAGCCCTAAACGCGATAATTTGCGATTGCAATGTCACAGCTTTCATGACATTTTTAATATAATATTTAAAATAATTTCTTACCTATAACACTATATTTAGTAATATATTATAAGCTAATAAATTATAAAATAAAGTGAATTATATTTTTCATGTTTCCTGGTCTGAGTTCAAAAAATGTAACAAACTATTAAGAACTTTGTTTGTGATCCTTATGCCTCTTTGTTACAGGATGAGACCGCTCTTCAAGTGCAGGGATCAATCTCGTACGTGTCACCCGAGGGTCAAAACATTGTGATTACTTACGTAGCTGACGAAAACGGATACCAGCCTAAGGTATATTATGCAACGTAGTTAGCGGATTGGCAAACGCAGTTATTAATGTTCGAGTCGTTATTACGAAGACGCTGCCACCCAGTTTCTGGTGTATTTCCCGTAGTTTCCTCTTACGATACCCATGAAGGATATTATGGGGTAAGTTATGGCTAGAACTAAAAAACTTCATTCATTTTTTGAAGAATACCGTTAATAATAAAAAAATGGGTGCATATAAATTCAAATTAATGGTTATCAACTGCGCGGTGTACATTAAGCGAAATCAAACTCAATCATTCTAAAAATACAAGCACATTACGTGCACTATTTCCAAGCCGAAATACATTTGTTTAAAATAATTTGGACTTTTACGCGCTGATAATGAAAGAAAGGTGAAAGATGTGATGTGAGTACATGTCAAGAAGTTGAAAGAAGTTTCATCCTAACTTGAAACCTATTGTTCTGCATACTGAGGCTATAAATATGAGATATAATCCTCATGGATATAAAATCGATAGTTGACTGGGGATGGTAGACTAAAAACTTAACCATTTGTATTTATGCATTTTTTTCTTGGAGCACGTCCCGTGCGTTCGTGTAATTTATAGAAAGTACAATATGAGACTTTCAAAATATCTAATTTTCAACAGAGTGATTCTCTTCCAACTCCACCGGCGCCGATCCCCATTCCGGACTACATTGCTCGTGCTTTAGAATACATTGCTGCCCATCCTTACAAAGAAGAGACAGACGTATACGAAGAGAAGAAAGTTGCCAAGGTATACGAAGACAAGAAAGTTGCCAAGGTATACGAAGAGAAGAAAGTTCCCAAGATAACCGAAGTAAAGAGGTTTGGCAGGAAGTAAACGGTTTATAATCCGTTCGCCGGTTTATAATGAATTAAAGCGAGGACTCAAGATTATGTCTAAGATTTTATCACATTACGTAATCAAAATCATAAAAGAATTGAAACCCGATTGAAAACATCAAAACAGTAATGTAACGTAATATATTTGTAATATAGTATTTGTATATATTTTGTTTACAGTTAATACAATAAAGTGTACTCTTTTGTTTTCTAATTATTATTATTATTACTATAAATAACCTGTCTAATCGTGTTGTGGCCGTTTTGGCCGTATTGTGGTGTAAGAATATCTGCTACCCCATATGGTCCCGTGGATGTCGTAAGAGGCGACAGAGGGAAGCAAACAAGAAGATGGGTAGCAGGGTTTTTCTAATAATGTCTAATCCGCCTGGCAAGCGTGCCAGTTATTGCAAATACTGATAATCAATAGAATTTTGTTAGTATTTTTTACGATCGCGCTAACGACCATTTCATTTTTATCGTTAATTTTTATCGCTTATCGCAATAATCTGCCCATATATCAAGTTTTATCAAGTTTTTCTTAAAATTTTCATAAAAACTTTAAGATAAGTTACGAACTAAATGTGCCGCTGCAGTCACAAGACATGGAGACAAAAACGTACAACCACTGAGTGTTTCCAGTGATTATTTAAGAACCGAAACGTGATTCTTCGCTGATGTCCGTATGATTAAGCTAGGAGTCACTAAGCGAGCTATGGAAAGGGCTTTGCTCAGAATTTCTTAAACAAGAGTAATTGGCATCACTCAGCAGATTAGTGAGCTAGTTTATTAAAAGCTTAAGACTGTCTATACCGTAGTGCAGTATTTTGTCAGCCACTACTAGTCAAGGGTCTATCTCGTAGGGTAAGTAGGTTAATTAAATAAATAAAATAGGATTTGTCACGATTACCAGTCTTGGCAGGCAGATGTGGGAAACGGAAGGTACCGATAAGCAAAGGCCCTCCACTAGATAAAGACGAACCGATAAGATACAGTTAGTTTTAGACGATTGTACGCTAGCTACGGTTAAGAGTATGAAATTACCCTCAGTTCGAAAGGTTCTCGAGATTTTGAGTTATAGGTTATCTCAAATTGAGAGATACTAAAACTTCCACAAATCAAAAGTTTACTTTAGTTCAAATATAACTCGTATTGAGAAGTTAAGGTAGCCTGCAGTTGGTACGGCAGTTTTTTAATTGTTTTGTATTGTAATTAGGAAGACGCAACTGCTCATCTTCTAACTCACATCGCTCTGTCATCTTTTACAACACCCACAGAATGATACAGGGTAGTGGATTTCTTAATATAAACATAAAACATGTAATTATGTAAATAAAAGTAGTTTTATTTTAGAAGGGTTCACGATTTTCACCAAAGAATTTACTAACATCAGTAGTAGTTTACAGTGTGTAGTAGCGTTACCAGGAATATGTGTATAAACATTGTCGGAACATTTAAAGAAAGGTAGACGTTTAAATAGCAGCTGACTTTTAGGCGAATCTTCTGGCCTTGTGCTTTTTAATAATGATAGCATACTAAGACAGGCTAAATAAAAACTATGGACAAAGTTGCAGCCTATATACGTCCCACTGCTGCCTCGGGCCTGCCCTCTTTTCTGAGAGGGGTTTAGGGCAAGGAAATGTCCACAACACTGCCGCAACGCACGGTGGCGAACCTCACATGTCTTCGAAATGTGTAGGTACATTGAAAATAATTTAATAATGTTAGTGGAAAAGTGGGGTATAATGAGCATAAAATTAAAATACATTCATTTCGAACGTTAAGTATTATAGTAAAGTAAAGACTTTTACTAAACTTCTGCTTAAAATATACAAAAAAATTAAATAATAAGAATACAAGCCGCTTATGTTACAATAATAAAGATAACTAATATTTATTAGTCTTTTAATATAATTGGAAAATGGGTCAAAATATTTCTAAGTTATAGAGTGTGTTCGTGCAATGCTTGACTCTTTATTAATAATAATAATAAACTTTGTTTTCAAGAATATGGTTGTACAATGGTGTTTGAGTATAATTCGTTCTACATATTCTACCTCAGTGGCATGCAAATATTAATGGTCAACTTAAGCAACAATACTTATCGAATTTTAACAACACAAAATTTTAACATTACTCAGGTGATTTGATAATTGTTTAATTATGTAACAGTGTCAGAAAAAAAATTGCCGATAATATGTATAGGTATTATTATACCTCAATGTCAAATATTAATATTTTTATGTCCATAATTATGTAATGTCAATTATAAATGTGACAAATCTAATTGTCATTAATTTATTTCAATACTTATATCAAATTTATTAATTAAATAAATGAAATTTTCAATTTATAAAAATATCACAAGTCAAATATTATTTCAAACATTGTGTCAAACTCTTAAAAGTATTTCTCCTTATGTGAAAATGAGTCTTTAAATGTGTAAAAAGATTGCTGGTTGAGCCATTTTTTTAGGTGAGTTTTCATTCTTATTGTTGGTACTATCTAATCGCTTTAGGTATCTTATTAAAAACTTTTATACACATTATGAAACAATTTTGTGGAACATAGCTGTCCCGCAGGTAGGCATTAACAATCTAAATAGTTGGGTCCCTTTTACCTATAATAGAATTATCGCGAGCGTTATGAAATAAACACTGATTTTTTTGACAAATATACATACCTCTAATACACAACATGTAACATAATTAACGCACTTTGAGAAAGTAGTTTTTTCAGAATCGTTTACTGAATCGATTCGTATCATTTTTAATATAGGTAATTTTTTATCGGAAAAATAATTAAAACTACGTAAATTACAGTCACACTAAATCTGTACAGTCAAAAAAAACTGAAATGGACTGTAACTTAAGGCAATAAGACTTTTAAGAGTGCAGTTTTATTTGTATTATTACTAATCTACTGTCATTCTATAAAAATAAAGAAAAATGAAGATTATTTCAACCACGTTAAAGTCTATGCGTTCGTGGATTTGTACTGTGACAACAACATTCTTCCGGAATTAGTATAACTAATTTGATAAATAATCAGTTCATAAAAATGTTTAACTAAAAATTCAGTGTATGTATTATGATTATAACAAAATATACTAATTGGGGTGTCTGAGGGTGTGCATTAATTACGTTACATATTGTATACAGTCCTGTCAGCATTAGCAAATTATTATTTTTAAATAAAGGTCTACATGATTCCGGCGGCCCGATGTTACATAGAGCTCGTATACATTTCTTTTGACTGACAAACGATTTACTAATGTTGGTCGAGTTTTCACATACCAACGGATCATACCTCAACACAGATTCAGTATATATGTAATATGCAGTAAGCACAGCCCCTTTCCCAGCGACGCACTGTAGCCTACGCAGTGCATATATAAATTTATTTCATTTGGTGCAGACCTTTTTCACATGCGACTTCCAACTGCAATGGTTATCAAAATGTAAGCCTAATTTTTTTTCTATAACCTCTTTCAAGTATTCATTATTATTCTGAAATATTTAGTTTTTCATTTGGTGTATTGTAATTCGAAAACGAAATGAATGTTGTTTCTGAGACTTTCAACGCATGGTTTCTAACTAGATTATTATGGATGCTATAGATGAATTGAACTTTATTTCGAAGTCACTTACGGTAAAATCTTTATTTACTTCTGGTATGAAGATGGAAATGTCGTCAGCAAAAAAGTATGGACTGATGAGGGGTCGTAGTCGGTAAGTCATTTATATATAATGGAAATAACAGTGGACCCAATACTTTTTCACATGCGACTTCCAGCTGCAATGGTTATCAAAATGTAGGCCTAAATTTTTTTTCTGTAACCTCTTTCAAGTATTCATTATTATTCTGAAATATTTAGTTTTTCATTTGGTGTATTGTAATTGGAAAACGAAATGAATGTTGTTTCTGAGACTTTCAACGTGTGGTTTCTAACCAGATTATTATGGATGCTATAGAAGAATTGAACGTTATTTCGAAGTCACTTACGGTAAAATCTTTATTTACTTCTGGTATGACGATGGAAATGTCGTCAGCAAAAAGTATGGACTGATGAGGGGTCGTAGTCGGTAATTCATTTAAATATAATGGAAATAGCAGTGGACCCAATACACTGCTCTGTGGCACGCCTCTTTATTGTGAGTAAAAGATCTAGATGACGTGCGGTTATGATTTTCAACAATACGTGTCACTTCGACACATAGTTGTCGATTTTCTAAATATAATTTTAGCCAATCTAATGCTGGTCCACGAATTCCATATATTTCACGCTCATCTATTAGAATAATATGATCAACACAATCAAGAGATCCGGAGACCCTTTTTTACTGTAAATAAGGCATTCTATCTTAGTAATCAGGGGTGACAACACATCTGCGTTTTGATTCTTAATCGAAGATAAATTTAGATGTCAATGGGCCAGCATCCACTTACCATCGGGTGGACTGTGTGCTCGTTTGTCATCCTTTTTTTTTAAATTTCATAATAAACATACAGTCGCCTCGTTGGTCTGACGATCATAAGTCGGGTCAACAAATGCACCTGTGCTTGTGCATACATGCATTTACTATAATGCTGTCTTTCACAGAAAGCTTGTTTTTGTTGAGCATTGCTGCCGTAACCAAAATTCAGTCTGGAATACATTATTTAGTGAATATTAATGTAACAAAATGTCCTCGAGACCGAATTTCGATTTTTTTTTTTTTTTTTATAGAAGAGGGGGCAAACGAGCATGTGGCTCACCTGATGTTAAGTGACTACCGCCGCCCATGATCAACCGCAACACCAGGGGAATTGCAGGTGCGTTGCCGGCCCTTTAGAAAGGAGTAAGCTCTTTTCTTGAAGGTCCCCAGGTCGTATCGGTCCGGAAAAATCACCGGTGGTAAATTATTCCACAGAGAGGTTGTACGCGGAAGAAAACTCCTTTTGAAACGTACAGTGGTGGACCGCCAAGCATCCAGATGGTGTGGATGGTATCGGGAC